GGGGGGCAATAGTGCAGGTGATTGTCTTATACAGGTGGCCGTAAAGCAGGTTTGACTGTCTCAACTCATCTTTTGGTGTTTGGTGTGCGGCATGGGAGGAGTTGAGTTCATTTTCGTGTGAAGAAGATATCTTATTGAGTGTTTTTGTCTTTATGCGGAATGTGTCCAACACAACTTGTATTTGCCCTATTGGATAACCTCAGTTTGATGCAGCACCCCTACTTGTTTGATCTATGTTGCAGAAATAGAGGTATAATACATTTACTTGTTTTTTTTGTCCAGGGTCAAAGTTTACTTTTAGTTTTAGTAAGGGTTTCAGGCAAGTACAGCACAAATAGGTTATATAAGTACCAAAGATTAGAGGTGGTACGTACAAAGAAAAGAGGGAGGAGAGATAACGACTTCAGATGTTTGGTAGAAAAGGAAGAAACCACACCGAGGCACCCACCAACCACCCACAGGGTCAATGCACATGCTACCTTTATGACCCATGTTGTGTTGATATGGATGTAATACATATACGATTTGGAGGTGTTTTTTTTTTTCCAGGGTTGTCACAGGTGAGCGTGTGATTCCTGTGGCCAGCTCAATCCCCTTGATGTACCTCAACTACGACACTTTGTCCTCCAGCAAGGTGAGCTGTTCAGGACTTGGATATAAAATATCTGTCATGACATTGAATGAGAGACCTTAGGTTTATATCTAGGTTCATTATTCTCTACTGAGTTGTGTCAGTAGGAACTTTGATATGTAAAGTATGTCTTGGCATGTGAAAGAATTTTTATAAATATTTGTCGAGGCGCGTGAAAATCATGTAAGTCTTCAAATACTTCACTAGAACTGAACTCATTTTTTAATTTTTTATTTGCTGTGCACCAAGTTTTTTCAGACACTCTTTGTTTCACAGTTTGCTCATACTGTTTTTGGTAAAAGTTTTGAATATACGATTTGAGTTGCTCTGTGTCAAGAGTTTCCATGCAGTAGTGTACAACCCTTTTAACATTCAAGTAGCAACTTCCAAAGTTTCCAAATTTCTTTTAAAATCGTAAATTCATGTCATGTGCAAAGAAAAAAAACCCTCCGAGTACTGTATTTTTGTGAGAGATGACATGGATATATTACATTGCATTTCTTGTTTTTATAGTAATTAGTCTGGAAAAGTCGATGCTTGAAATGAATTGAAAAATCCACCTAATTTTTATATATTTTTTTTATGTTTCTGTTTTTTCCTGAAAATTAAGACAGTGTGTTGTTACTTTTTGGGGGATCTATTAATCAAAAGGCCTCATAGTAGAAAAAGTCATCTTCATTCAAGTTTTCAGTTATTTATTTGTGTTATTTTTTAATTCGTTTGTATTATTCTTTCATTCATTCATGTACTTATGTATTCATGCTGGGGATATTTGATAGTAATATGTTATGCTGTGTAGTTTGGCCATGAGTACTGTTTGACTGTTTACATCCCGATGTTCATTCATTCTTTCATTCCCTCCTTTCCCTCACTTTTTGTTGTATTCTTTAATGTTTTGATTATTTTGTCCCATTAATCGTACAATGTTTGTTTGCTTTCTCTTGCAGTCTGCTGGCTCAGAAGTGAAATGGGTGGACGGAGGAAAACCGCTCTTCCGACTTCGGCTCCATCTGGTCTCCACTGTTTATACCCAGGTACTTTGGTACTTTCTTCTTTGCCTTCATTGCGTTCCCCTGCTAGATATCAAAGGTGGTCAACTGATGGTTCTTCCATCTGCAGTGAGACTGATTGTTACGTATATGACTGTTTTTCCTACTTTATAAGGCCTGTTGTCTTCAGAGAGGCTCATTCATGAAGGTACTCTTTATGTTTTTATGATTAGAGTATTTTCAGCACCCAGGTACTTGAAGTGAATTAACCCTTTGAGCCCTGGTTCCTTGAGTCTAGGGGACTCAAACACCTGAGCTCTATGGGTCCATTGCTACATTATGGTGTGCATTTGTCCTGCAGTTTTAGACATAATGATGTTACCAAATGGGTGAAGAAGAGTTGCATAACTTGGTCGATTTAAAAATATTTTCTACTATATACCCAAGTTTGCTTTTTTTAAAATGACAGTAATACAAGTCTGAATGCACTCTAAACTCCCACTCGTCCTACATTCTCTATTACAGGATCAGCATTTGCACAACTTTTTTGTCCATTGCCAACGAGTGGAGTCTGGTGGTGGCCTGGCCATAGACATGAACAACGTGAACAAGATCAAGGTGAGAGTGCCCTTCTTTGCTTTTTTTCTTTTGTTGAGGACTGTCAATATCTGCAGAGTGATGAATAACTGTGACTGGTGCTACATTCTCAAGAGAGGACTCTTTTTAGAAACAACCCTGGTGACTATTTGTGAAACGTGTCGGAATTGTGTGCCCCTTTTTTATCAGTCCTCGCTTTGTTAACGATGAACAGTTCTGGAAACCCAATCTAAACAGTCTTAACTTGGTGATTTATTCTAAAAAAGTGCTACATTTTCTAGTGAGGGCTCTTTTTTAGAATTGAGACCTTGTCAAGTTTGTACATTGTGCCTTGTTTTCTTGAACTGGCTTTGTTTGTGATCTATAATGCAGGAGCCCATTGAGATTTGTCTTTACCTTCTACCTGGTGTTTTGGCTGAAATTCTCAGAGATGGTTCTCCTTAAAAGAAAAAAGCCCATGTCTTTGTTAGGGCTGTTTTTCAAAAGTTCCTCTCCAGGGCTCCTTATGTCCTCTTCTCTTTTGTTTTGTTTGTGATGAATAGTGCAAGTAACCCTTTCTAACTGTCTTTAATAATAATAACAATGAAAGCAATAAATTCCATTCATATTTGCACATATCTCTGTGTTGCAAATTGATCTAAACGGTTCTCATGAGAAGTACCCAAGCCATTGCTAGTGTATGTCAAGTATTTCTACTGACTTCCCCTTATTTCTCATTCTTTCGTGTTTTGTGTGTGATGAACAATGCTGGAGACTAACGTTAAACCCTCCCCCCCCACAACCTGGAGCTTTGGCTGAGACCCCTACCACTATTTTTCCTATAGTGGACTTTCTTCAGAAATATTCATATCATTACTAGTGCCTGTTTGCCTAGTGTTTATGATTGGGTTGCATGTGATGGTTACACTTTCATAACTTTGGTCACAAAATGGTGGAGGGGGCACTCATTGCCTTTGCCATGCAGGCTCACGTGGAAGTTTTCTTCAGCTGAAAACGTTATGAAAGATATAGTGGACTACTCAGCTCAGGTGTGATTTGTTCCTTCTTTCCTATCAAATGTCTATGGTCCTTTTCTCTCCCTCTTTTTTTGTGTTTGTTTCTCTCTTGTAACACCTCTAATCTTCTGGGCTGTATGACCCAATTGTGTTGCAAGTGAAGTAAAACTCTTACTAAAATTAAACAAAATAATAAAGCTCAGGTGTTTGATTTGCATTCTCATCAGCAAATTATACAAGAGGTTAAAGATGGACTGTTTGTCTCAGATGTTTAGTTTCATCTTATTGCCCTGAACCAACCCCCCCCCCCCTAAACCGCTGAAGATATATTGTGATATAGTACCCAACTCAGGTTCTTAGTTTGATTTCACTTTTCTGTTTTGGAAAAGAAAACCACTTAAGGCTGCAGGGTTGATAATACAAATAAACAACAAGGTCCTATCCCCATGTTGAAATGTGTACGCCAATTGAATTTGAACAAAACTATTGAATAAGTTCCCCCCAAAAAATCATTGATCTGTTTTAGAAACCAAGAGTTTTATAGTCCTTTCAGTCGCTTGAGAAGGAGCGTAGCTGAATATGATTGGTTTCTCCTTTCTGCGAATTGCGTGTACTTTTTTGGGGGGTCTTTTTCCTACCCGCTCACTTCTCTAACTGTTGGTGTGGGGTTTTTAACACTGTTTTTCTCTTCGTATGGATTGTCATCAGCATATTATGCATTGTCAGACAACTAAACCTAGAGATGGCAACAGGATGTCTCCTGTAGAAATTAGATTCTTTGTCTCTGTGCCATGAGGGGATTTTTCCTCAGACTCTTGGTTTTTTTTCTTTTCATGTTTTTATCTTCTGTGAACAGTACATATGTATTTTAATAAGCTACCCTATGCGGATGTACCAGTAACTTCAAGGGTATTTTGCTGGACATTAGTTCAAACCTGGTTTCAATTCCAAATGGAGTGTCCTTGAACTTTGGTTGGTGGGGGGGATGGGGGGGGTGGGTGGAGGATTTAAGGCTTTCTGCTCACATGGTTCCTTCAAGTTTGAGAGATGGATATGTGAAAATGTAAGAGTCCACCTCTTAAATAACCTTACAGCATTTACAGGAGCATGAATCCAATATTATTGTATCGTATCATATCTACATAAAAGCTTCTTTTCTGTATAAAATGTGTTGTCCCCCCCCCCCCCCCCCCCAGATTATTGACTTCTTTTGCTCCTTTTCCAGTTGATCTCTGCACATTAACAATGGTAGATGTTGCATTGTTTTAACATATTATATATACAGAATGTATCATCAAGTGCGTATTACAAACGTAGAAGCATATAGGTCTCCTTTACTGTTGTGTGTGTTTAGTGGGGGTGGGGGGGTGTGTGATCCAGTTTTCTAAAACTTCTTTTTACTATTACAATTTGAAACAAGTTCTTTGTCTTTTTTTTGCCGTCTGTTTTCTCTTTGAATTTTTTTCTATAAATTCACACAAAAATTTTTTTTCTGTGTAGTCACTCTTTGGTTTCTTCTTTTTTGGGACCGATGAGGAAGGTTAATGGATTTTCTTTTCTGTTGCTCAGTTTTGGAAATTTTAGGGGTATTTTGGGGGTTTTCGTGTTGTTCACTCTTTGGGTATTCTTTTTTTTGGGGTGGGTGGGGAATTCTTTTCTGTTTGGTCTCTCTTTGGTTTTTTGTTTTTGTTTTGCCCATTCACTGTTTGCCTGTGTTGTCTCCTCTGGCCTACTGTAGCTGGAGAACGGAGGCGGAGGTTGTAGTCCCCCAGGGGACGGGCTGCTGACCCCGCCCAACGACTTACAGTCCTTGCTTAATGGGGTTAAGGTATAGTGTGTGTGTGTTTCTGTGCACTTTAGCCTGGTTTCTAGCCTGGTTTTATGTTAGTGACTGCTTTGTTTCTGTTTGACTTGAGTTGGAGTTACCATACTCGAGAAACGCGTGTTTGAAGAATAGCAAGAATGCAGCTAACTTGTCATGGCTTGGAAGTTTTTAAATTATTTATTTGGTTATCAAATTCTTCCCACAATGTGGCAAACACGTCTCTGCTAGAATTTTGCGGATGGGTGAGGCAAAAAAGAGTGAGTTTTTGTTAGTGGTTGAATTATTGATTTTTAAAATGGGAGCCATCATGGTGAAATCAGGCACTCGTCAAAATAATGAAATTAAAGAAAACGTCATTTTCTTCCTGCTGGGCACTTTTTTTTTTAAGGTTCCCTTTTTCACTCAAGACCTTTTATGTCGATTTAAAAATACATTTCTACATGGATTTTATGATCACCTGTGATCAGAGCCTCAAAAAGAGTAAATTTGTAGTTTTCAAAGACACTCAAGTTTTGGAAGTTACCACACCTTAGAGGCCGTTCTTCTCACTAATTTTACCTCAAACACCAGGCTTCTCTTCAAGGTGGATAGGTATTCCTTTCATCGATAGCAAAACAAATAGCACATTTTAAGGTGAGTAAAACAAATAACACATTTTAAGGTGATGCCAACAGCTCCATAGTCCAAAAATTGACAAGCGCCTGATGCTACAGCGTTGTGACACATATATATTATTATGTTCTTATGAGCTTTTATTTGAGACAACCATTCTTTTTGTTGTTGCTTGTCCTGAGTATTTTAATAAATAGCATCTGCAAGGTCTAATGAGGTTGATGTCAACAATTTATAAGTTCTTCAATTAATGTTTATGATCAACATCTCCTCATCAATAATTTTTCTCAAACAACCTATTAAATCTAGGAAATTAACCCAAGCTAAAAAGGTCAAAGCGGATTGTTCTTCAGTTCCCAATTATTATTGATAAAATTGTCTCAGTGGTGATAGTCAAAGTACCATTACATGAAAGTTGTAGTTACAGCTGATAAAGTAGCAACAAAAAAATTGAGGCCCTTCTCCTCGTGTATGGTAAACCTTTTGATAATTTTACTTGTTTTTTCACAATGTTGTTGTGAGCTAGGAATGTATTTTTCTTTTTTGTTCACCTTTATACTTTATTGTTTGAGTTTTTATGGCTGACTGTTCTAGTTTGTATTATGTTTGCTTGTACCTGTTGTAACTTAGTGACCAGTTGTTCTCATAATCAATAGCCTCTCACCCTGGTGTTGTGTACATTATGAATGGTTATTGTTCACATTCATCTGTTGCAGTTATAGCATGCTAATAAAGTTTTTAAAAATGTATGTAGCACACTAACCAAGATTTCACAGCAAATGTGAAAAGAAGGCATACTAACAACTGCCAGACACACCAGTGCAATGCTTGGTATTCACACTCCTTACTCCTTTACACAGTAGCATATGTAGCAACAGACTCAGCTAATGTGTCATGGCTTAGAAGTTTTCGCTATTTATTTTGTTATTGAATCCTTTTCTTTAGCACTGGCATCTTTTGTATAATGATTAGGCTCTTTTCTGGCTCGTGCAGAGGATATGGAATCAAGTCCTGCTTTGAGAAGTTATTGTATTTTATCAAGCATCTCTGTGTGTCATCTTGATGCTGCTCTGGTGTGGTTTGGCATTTATAAGATTCTGAATGTGTGGTTGGCAGGCGCTCTGGTGTGGTATCATATGCTCCTTCTTTCCTATTGACCTCCTGTTGTCATTATTTCTCCTTCTTTTTATTGTATGTTACTCTCTAGTAACACTTCTAATCTTTGGCACTTGTATGACGTTTTTGGGTTGCAAGTGCAGTAAAACTCTTACTGAAACCAATCCCACTCTGTCCAGGCTAGTCCTGAGTGGCAGGGTGGAAGCAGCCAGTCTACTAAATGATCTGTATTGATTAGGGGTCTGAGGGAGGGGATGTAAACATTCACAATAATTTTACAGACATATCTTGAGTCTCTTGTACCTGGATGCTTTAAAAAAATTGTTTCGGAGGTGTCCCTGTTAGGTCTCACTTTTAGTACTTGCCCTATTTTTTTCTTTAGGTCTTGCTCTTTTCCAGCACTAAATAACATTTATTCTGTCAATGTACTTTTCTTTACTCAGTCAAACCCAGTCGTTCAATTTGGTGGGCATAGTTTTCTTGCTGGGGAAATGTGTCCTCTTACAGGCATATAGAGTAGGTCGGTGGCCCATTTGTCATAGGTATGCTGCCTCAGCATCATGGTAAAAGGTTGTTCACTGTATCACACCTCTGTGTGCGGAAGAGGCATCAAATTCCTCAATGTTAAAAGTAATAGCAGCAGAAAGCAAATTTTCAGGGCAAAATAATATTTCTAAAAAAAAAATAAATGAAAACAATCCCCCTCTGTGCAAAAGAAGTGCCAAATTCCTTAATATTGAAAGTGATTACAGCGAAAAGTAAACGATCTATACAAAATATTTCTTTCATATCGAAGATCTATTGCCCTTATCTCTCCTTCTTTTTTTGTGTTTGTTATTCTTTCTGTCAACACCTTTAATCTTCAGTATTTGTATGACCTGATTGTATTATAAGTATTGCAAAACTTTTACTTGAACCACACCCCCCCAAAAAAAAAAATAAAAAAAATAAAATAACCACTGCCATCTGTCAGACCTTCCTCTTTTACCATAATCTATGATGTCCCTGAAGTCAATATCTTTGTTTGTTGTTGGAAGGCGCCACTGGTAGGTCCTACTTCTTTTGTTTCCTTCTTTTGTTTCTGCCTATCTGTCTTGCTTCTTCCTATTACTATAAGACCCTCATTGTGTCGATGTGTTTCTCTTTACCCAAACTCAACTTCAAACTCAACGTCTTTGTTGTAATTGGAACAGACACCCTTCTTGTAGTAAACTTTACCACTGTGTGTTTCTTTACATTTTTTCCCCCCAGTGTTCCTTGTTTTGTTTCATATGGTCTGATTGTTTCCTCTTTATGTTTCTTGGATGAGCATTGAATGTTGTTTATTGCCCAGATATCTTAAAGTATTGGTCTTTTCACGTACACTGTTCTACTGAGATTAATTTTGTTGGGACATTATTTCATTTCATTATTTTTTAAAAAACGCCAAATATAACATTTTATATTTCAAGTACACTGGCTTTTTCTTGCTTGTTAAATGTGTATAGATGTCAAATTTAATTCTAGTTTGGATTGAGGACACTGATAGTAAACATTTCTTCCCTCTTCTTTCAAGTTATTTTAATCAGCATTAAGTTATCCCCTCAACCAGCCATTTCCTATTGTATTCTATATATGTCTTACCTTTTTTGTACCCTGCGTGATGAGTATAGTGTGCTTGAAGTGTGCTATGTTCATGACGCTTGGGTTGAATATGAATGGTTCTAATAGAAATTGGTTGCTTTTACTAATGTTTGCCAGTCAGATAATGTATGCTGAGATAATGTATGCTGTCAAAAGACATTTTTGGATTATGCTTAGTTATCTTCTTTGTGGTTATGCTGCATGTAGAACCCTGTTTTCTCGATGAGCTTCGATGGAAATTTACACACCTGTCCTTGTACAGTGGAACCTGCTCTAATTGCCACCTGTCCAAGACAATCACCTGGTCAAACAACCATTTCCCACTTCCCACCTTACCTTGCTGGATTTTATAACATAATGATGCTGTCTGAGATGTCCACCTGTCTTAGACAACTGCTTTTGTCCTCAACAATGGGTGGCCGTCTTGGACAATTTTGACTGTACTTTAAAAAAATTATTTTCAATTCCAGATATAAGCGGAGTGTTTGAAGTGTGCCATTGTGACATCTTTCTTCTTTTTTTCTCCTCTTTTGGTACTATACACGATTGCCCAGACATTTTAATTTTGATGGAAAGCTGTTCAGCTGTTCTTAGCTAAGAAAGCAAATTTTTCCGTAGAAAAATAAAAGTGTTTATCCTTTTAAAATTGTACCAACATTAAGTATAGTATGAATTTCAACCAAATATTTGTTGAGCTGATGCAACCAATGCCATGGAACCAGAAAAAAAAAATGTTATTCAAAATTTTGAACTAAGTACATCTGAACAGCTGGCCCACAATATGAGGGTATAGGTCCCTTTTTATCAATGTGAGTGTAAATGTATTTTTGGTCACTGTCCATAAACCCTTGTTAAAATCTTACTGCTTTTGGCAGGAATGTCTAAGTTGAACTAATATTTGATTAGTAATAGTTGCTCCCGTTGAATACAAGGCCTTTCCCATGTGAAGAGCAGGTGTTTGGAGAGTGCCCTATTGTTGGTTCTACTCATTTTCTTTTCCTCTTTTGTTTCTGTCTATCTTTCTTATCTTTCTTTATTATTTAACACTAAATGACCATCATCCTGGATAAATAACGACAATGACCATCATCAAGCTAAAATGCTTCTCTTTTCTCACTTCTCAATGGGAGGTCTTACTTTTTTTCTTCCTTCAATTGTTTCTGTTTGTTGTTTTTTTCCCTCTCCCGTTGCATTAAACGGATGTAATTGAGTCGATGTGTAGTTTATTTACTCAAAGTAAACCCTTGAAAATATGTAAATTTTGCGTATCAGCTATGTCGTTCTCACTTGTTCTTCAGTCCCTGCTGGCAGTAGAGGTGGCTACATACGTTCAGTTCCTGCCCACTTTGCTCAACCAGCTGTTCCAACTGTGTGCTCGGACAGTCAGTGAGGATGTGGCAGTCAACTCTGTCAGGTCAGTCTACTCTATACAGATGCAGATTTTCTGGATTTAAAACAGTTGTGTATTCTAATCTCTTTGTGCATGTTATATTGCAATTGATAATTTTAAAAAGCTTTAATACAGGATGTAATCTACTATATAATCCGTAAATTTTTAATCCCTGTACATTCCTTTCCATCTGGTCCCAAAAGTTCAGGGCTTGTTTTTTTTTGTAGTGAGTCGACACCTGTGTTCTTTAGCCCATGCTGTATAGCCCCTTGTGATTTTTTGATGTATTGAAGGGAAATTTTACAAATGGGTCAAAGAGAAACAAACCAACTCCCCTCTCCTCACCCCCCACCCCCAATGATTGCTGATATGAATAGAAGAGAGAGGATTTGATGATGATATTTTTGGTTATGATAATGGAGGTGTGAGGATCTGTGCTGTGCTGCTGCTGGTGATGATAATGATGAGGACAATGATGATCATGGTGTTAATGATACTAATGTTAATGATAGTGATGATGATGATGATGATGATTCTGTGTTGTACAATTTAGCAGTTACAGTTGAACTTGCTCAGTGGCCACCTGTCCAGCGCCTAAGACAAGCACTTGTGTCCTTGATAGTGGGTGATGGTATCGGACAATTTTGACTGTATATAATTCTTCTTGAACTGCATTTCAAGTTTAACTGCTCCTATGTTTCTTTTTTTAAAATCAGGGCATAATTCAGCCTTGAGTGGATCCCAGCGAGATGTTACTACTGTTAATACTGCTATGTTCTTTTTTTCAGCTATTGTATTGATTAATTGTGAATGGATTCCAGATAGGTAAAAAAAAAAGTTGTTCCCACATCCTATCCGGACATTGGGGATTGCCTTGTTAGTGAGACAACTTCCTGGGCCTTCGGCATATTGTGGTAGGGTGGCCAGTTCCTTTCCATGCCGCTTTTACTTCCCCAACTTGAAGTCAGGTACCCATTACTGCTGGGTGGGCAGAAAGGGGCGGAAAAAAATTGTATCCAAACTGATGCTCGAATCCGGACTTTCCGCTTCTGAGAAGAGCGCACTAACCGCTCCACCAGATAGATATAGTTATAGTAATATCGATAATGCCCATCATTTCTATAGCCCTCGCTCCTGTACAATACAGCTTAATTTGTGCTGTATAATTCCTTTATCTTAACTTAAGATACATGTGCATGAATGTGCATACATAATATGCTCTTTAGATTAATACTAGCACATAAGCAGAAACTCATACATGTATTTTCACTGCACAATCAAACACAATATGCACATCACTTTGTGAACCTAAGAGTGCAAAGTAAAAGAAAGAGTGACAGTTAAGTTGTGTGGTGTTCTGTTTTTTCTCAGAGTGCTCATCCACATGGTGTCCCTAGTCCATGACGAGGGGAAATGCGACTATCTGGAAAAGTATGTCAAGGTGAGTGGAAAAAAGGTTTCAAGTGTGAAAATGTTAATGAGGAGCTTATTATGCTCAAACGTTTTTGGACCATTCCATTTTCCAAGCTGTTTAAAGATGTTTTCCTATAACTACACTTTAAGAAATCAAAGGGGTGGGGGGGATGCTGTAAAAATGCTGTAAAACCAATTCAGAAATGATTAAATGGAAGGATATCTACTTTTCACTTTTTCTGCCCTCTTATATTACAAAGTGTCAAGGGGAGATGCAATTGTTGGATGTGGGACAGGTGTGCTGCCTTGTAGACGAAAATGAAAGAATGAAAAATTAAATCTCTCCCACCATGTCTAGATCCCATCTGTTAATCATGTGTCAATTGCACTGTGTTCTCAGTACATGTTCCGACCAGACCCAGCTGTCAAGACGAGCAAGTCCCAGCGTACGGTTCATGAGGAGCTCTCCAAACACCTGACCTCCCTCCTCCGGCCAGCCAATGCTGACCCCTTGGTGGTGACCCGGTTTCTCAAGCACGCTTGGTTTTTCTTTGAGGTCCTGCTGAAGAGCATGACGTTGTATCTCATTGACACAGACAGGATCAAGGTGCTTTCACTGATATATATTTTATTATTTTTTATCTATTTTTTTTATATAAATTTTTTTTTTAGGGATAAGGTTAGTTTATGAAGGCTATTGGTCTTTTTAGGAAAATGTAAATTACTATTATTTTAAGAATGGATTATTATAATAATTTTTTAGATACATCGACCATTTCGACTTGCAAAGTAAAACCAAATTGTGTTATGAACAAACTTGAAAACAACCAACTTGTGTCTTGCGCTCTCTTTTGACCGTAGCCAGTTTGGAGCGCTGTAAAACTGAAATACGCCATGCAGTTTCACTTTACTTTGATGCGGTTGAAATTATCCTAGACATCCTCCAGTTGTCGAGGAGAAAAGTGGTTTGTCTTAGACTTGTGGTCGTCTTATACAATGTCAGTTTAGTATTTTACCAAACACAAGGGGGAAGTGGGAAGTTAGACTGTTTATTCGTTTTATAAAGATGTGACTGACCTATGTCAATAGTTGGCATAATAGAAGGGGCTTTAAGACTGTTGAGATGGTTTGTAAGGCATGGCTGTTGTACTTATAGTTTGAATTATACTTGCCCAGATGCCTCGTAATGAGTGCTTCTCCCCCGAGTGCCAGTACCGGCTGCAGAACTTGCTGCACATGGTCACCCTACATGTGATACAGAAGAACAAGGAGAGGAAGGAAGAGACCAAGAATGCCAACAACAGTTTGGCACACTTTGTCAAGGTGAGGTAGTAGACTGTTGGCAGATGCTGTGGTGTGATTTGCTCCTTTTGTCCTATCAAACATCTAGATGTCCTGATCCCACTTCTTTCATTTTTGTGTTTGTTACTCTTTTGTAACACCTCTTGTCTTCAGCACTTATATGTCCTTATTTTGTTGCAAGTGCCAGAAAACTCTTACTAAAACTAAAACAAGTTGACACATGAGACACCTAAGGGGCAATGGGTTATTTTTGCAATGGATTATTTTTTTTGTGTTATCAGTTTGTAGACATGTTCCATTTTGGGCCCTCAGCATAAATAGAATACATTTATTATTCCTAGCTTGAAAAACAAGTAGAGATTTTTTAAAATAAATCCAGAAATTTCTTTGGGGACTTAGCTCCCTGAACCCCCACCGGAAAGCTGACTCTGGGTCTTGATGGGCCATAGACCCTGGGCAGAGAATTTTCCTTAAAGTAAAAAAAAACAAATAAGAAAAGATACATAATGTAGGTATAATTGTTAAAAGAATGAAAAAGTTTTCTCTCTCCTGAAAAAAACTGCTTTCTAGGGTTAGAGGTGTGGATAGTCCGTTCTGCTCTGTCTGTCTGTATCTGATCACCATAAAACGAAGACTATTTCTTTGTGGAGGCATGGGAAAATCAAGCTAAGATTTGTCTGCCATTTACGTCCTTTTATTATGTGTTTTTCCTCAGAAATGTTTCACCCTTATGGACAGAGGCTATGTGTTTCGACTGGTGTCAAAGTACATAGAGAACTTCAACCCAGGAGACAGCAAGGTATGGTTTGTTTGTTGTCTTGTGCTGTGTTTGTGTGTGTATATGTGTGCGTGTGTGTGTGTCTGTGTGTGTATATTATGTGTGAACTGTGATGTGGGTATGTTTGTGTTGAAGGTATTCTATACATGTGCTTGTTTAAATGTTCTCCTTTTTTCTTTTTCCCCTCTACTTCATTCATAATGTCTCTCATCTTATCACATCCTTTACTTATCACTTATCATCTTTCATCTTGTCACATCCCATACTTATAATGTCTCCCATCTTATCACATCCTAATGTCTCTAATCATGTCCTATCCTATACTTATAATGTCTCTCATCTTTTCACATCCTAAACTTAAAATGTCTCTCATCTTATCAGATCCTAATGTTCCTCATCTTTTCACATCCTATACTTATAATGTCCCTCATCTTATCACATCCTGTACTTATAATGTCCCTCATCTTATCACATCCTGTACTTATATTGTCTTTTTAAAAATCACATCCTAATCTTATAATGTATCTCATCTTATCAGATCCTAATGTCCCTCATCTTATCACATCCTATACTTATAATGTCCCTCATCTTATTACATCCTATGCTCATACTCATATTATAATGTCTCTCATCTTATCAGATCCTTATGTCCCTCATCTTATCACAATCTGTTTCTTATCTTATCACATCTTATACTTATATTCTGCTTTTTTTTATCTTACCACAGCCTGTACGTTGAATGTCTCTCATCTTAACAGGCTATTTTCATGATGTCCCTCTCTTCTTTGCATGGGCGGCTGGAAGGTCCTTCATCTTTTCTGTCCCTCAGTCATATCTGTATGTCTGTCAGTCTTGCTCTTTCTTAGCCCTGTATGGTAATAATCGTGTCGAAGTGCTTTTTTTTCTCCTCAAACCAAAACCATGCCTCTTCCTCTTTGTCCAGGCTTTGCATGACTTCAAGTTCGAGTTCCTTCGCATTGTGTGTAGCCACGAACACTTCATTCCCCTTTCTCTGCCCCTGATGCGTCGTGGCATGGTGAAGAACTTTAAAGGTATGGCAGTCTGTTTACGCAATGTTTGTGAAATGTTGTGGGTTTTGTTATGTACCTATCATTTTCTTTGATCTTGGTCTTGTCGTTTTTAGGGGATTTTAAAAATGAATTCTGTTCCTCCTCCCCCCCCCCTCTCTCTCTCCTGTTTTCTCACTTCTGTGGTCTCACTTTCATTCTTTCCATCTCCTTTTGTGAATACAACTCCAGCAGTCACATTGTCAAATTTTTTCATATTGTTATTTTGTATTAATTTTTACTTGGTTTGGTTTCTTTTGCCTGAAGAATAAGATATGGTCGTTTGGTTACAGGGATTTTTTTTATTTACCACTGAACTGCACAGAAAGCATGTTTTTTTTCCCCTCCTTTTACTAGGTTGCATTCATAGCCAATATAGATTTATTTGCAAATTTATGCATTTGTCAAACTTTGGGATTTCAGAGAATGATATTGTTTCTCAAAGATACCAAAAATTTTGTTGTTCATTTGTTTTTGTTGCTATTCTGCTCCTCTCTTGAGGATGAAAAGTTATCATTTCTGCAGGGTTGGAATGATTCCAAAGCCTTTTTGAGCATTTTTGTGCACTGTTAGATATGACTTCATACGGAGTTACGACAGTACTGGATTAGAGTGTAGCGTTTTGCTCCTTCCCATGTAAATTATTGCTGCTTACATACCATGTGCCCCCCCCCTCCCCTGTTTTATAAATAATATGTTTGTATATGATAACAATATCTACTTTATCATTGTCATTAGTGATAGAATGTGTGTGTATGTGCGTGTGTGTGTATATGTGTGTGTGCGCACATGCATGTATGTTTGTATGTGTGTGTGTGTGCGTGTATATGTTTGTGTATGTGTGTGTATGTGTGTGTGTGGTCAACCAACAAACCAATGTGCCAGTGCAGTACAAACGAATATCTTGTATTGTTGTTTTCCTTGTATGTACTTTTTCATGTTCCAAGTGTGAAAGTGTTACATTTTCATAACTGGGGTGGATGAGTCCACATCACAGCTTTGTGTTCTTTCAGAAATGTTCTACAATAGATTTTTGTGAGGAGTTTCACACTCTCAAATCTACTTATGGTGCTAAGACAGAGCCATTGGTATTCTCACTGGACAATACCGAAACCTTGTTTTTTTATATTTTATTATAGTAGAGGGTTTTACGGCGCTCGCAACTGCATAAGGTCATATGAGCGCCAAGGGGTGGGTGTCAACAGAGAAGTCTTTACAGGGAATCAGACTTAGACTGCTCATTCTCTAGCTTCAACAGCACAAAGTCTGCTTTGACTATCAAGGCACCCCGGAAATAGCAGGTCACAAGAGATTGACAAACATACAAAAGAAGTAGAGGAAAATGACAATAGTAAGGATCAGGAAAGAAAAAGCAGCAGTTCCCTGTTGTAGATCAGGCAGTTATGAGCGTGACATGAGTCAGCCCATTTACAATTAATTCTACTATGCTTGAACGAGAAATGTCCCCCCTTTGGGAATGGACTAAAGACACTACAGTCAGTGGCACTGCCCCTGGGGGTAAAACGTTGTTTATGCTTATTTGAGCTTCTCCTCTCTCCCGTAGTCTGTTCTGTCTGTAGATAATAGAGAGACAGACGGTCAAAAAGACAGACAGACGAGAGATAGACAGAAAGATTTACCAGTTTTCTCACTGAATGTACCAGTTATGGTACCGCCGTGAAGACAACTCTCATTGGCCTGTCACGGCTACACTGACCTTTCTTATCTTTCCTCTTTTCTTTTCACTTTAAAAAAAATTGGTTTTGGTCTGTTTTCTGAGTTCAAACAAGGGAAAGTGGATAGTTGAAGGTGCCACTGGGAGGTTCTTCATCATTGATCTTGCTCTTTCTTGGTTGTTTTTTTTTGTCTTTCAATTTTACTTTTCTCCCTCTGCTAAATAGCCTTCATTGTGTCCATGTGCTTCTCTTTGCTCAAATGAGTACTGAGCCAAACATCAGCAATAATTATTTTCTATTTTCCGCGCCTTTTTTCTTTCCCTTTGCCTTTTATTGTGTTAATGTTACACTTGAGTTGAGACAAGCTATCAATATCTGTGGTTTAGCAATAAGGCTTTTCGCTGTCACACATGCAAGAGACCAGAGTTCGATTCTCAAGACTTTCTCCTTTGATGTTGTATCACTCTCAGCTGGGTAGGTTGGTCCTGTCAGGCAGGGTTGAAGCCCGCCTCCTATATGATCTAAACTGAGTCAGTGAGGGCGTAAAACTTCTGCCGAATTACATTATGTTACTCTGAGTTAAGACAAGCTAAAATGTAATCATCCTCTCTCGGAGTGCGTAACTCTTACAACATTGCTGTGGCCCTCGCTTTATTGTGTTGAATCTTGTATTATTTCAGCAGTTTTGAGGAGGTACGAAGTGTGCAATGGTAACCAAGGGAGTTGGACATTACACTGGGATTGGGAAATACAATGTTGTTTTATGTGTATTCTTATGTACCTAGTGCTAGATCCTAAATAACCAAAAGGCAGGGAATGTATTTGTCAGTCATATATCAAAATTAGAAAAGACAAAATTTATCGAACTTTCTTTGTTTGAAGAATGCTTTAATTTTGTATCAAAAACAGGTAGAAAAGTTGCGGAAGGGGGG